GAAGTTTTATAGCACAAAATCACGAGGTGGGCATAAGGTGGGGCAAAACCATGATCAAGCAATAAGGTTACAAGGACAGTCACTTAGGTGATATTGATGCAATGGGAAGCAAGTCACGTAGCAGGTGTGCGTGGATGGAGCAAGGACCCTTCCTGAAAGGGGCGGGTCAGGAGGTCTTGAGTCACCACCCAGGTAAAGGATGTCTATTTAGAATATCGATAATTGCCAGGCGTGGTGGCGCACGCCTGTAATCCCAGCACTCGGGAGGCTGAGGCAGGAGGATCATCGAGAGTTGAGACCAGCCTGAGCTACAAAGTGAGCTCAAGGCCAGCCTGAACTGCATAGCAAGACCCTGTCTCAAAAAGACCAAAAAAAAAAAAAAGATGACAAAAAAATAGAATATGGGTCATTATTGTTTGTCCCTGGGGAAGCATGTAAGTGTAGCCCTTCCATCTTTGTCTCAAGACCTGGCCTCCGACACCCGGTTGTGCTGTGTTCTCGTCTTCTGCACTGGCCTCCTGGAGGGCCCGGCCCTGTCTGTCTAGAACACTTCTACCTACCTTAGCTGTCTGTAACACAATGACTGTGATCACTGTATACCGTGAACCCTAACTAATAAACATAAGCAAATTAGTAAGTAGAGAACTCCAAGGGCAACTTTCCATCCTGGGTTACGCGGACCGGTGTGCTGACCCCTGCCCATCAGGAGGAAGCCCGAGTCCCTGGCATTTCCCAGCACTCCCAGGAGTGGATCTCGGGGCAGTGCACTGGCTGTGGAGCTCAGTCATCGAGTGACTATCTGATGGTTTCTTTGATTTAGAAGAGGGCACAGAAAACCCTTCCTGGAAATGGACAGAGTAAAGAAAGCATCTTCGGGCTTGCGGGCCAGCGTTTCTGTCCTGGCCGCTCAGCTCCGCACCGGAATTCACAAGCGGCCCCCTCACAGCTCCCAGCACCTGCGGGCAGCTGGGTTCCAGGGTGGTGCGGCCACAAAGCAGGCGACGGCCACAGGTGACTGGGTCAAGCACTGGTCTCCCTTGGTTTAGATTATTTCGAGGTTCCTGAGGACCAGCCTCCCATACCTCAGCACTGCACCCTGGTCCCTGCTTCCCACCCCACAGAGCCTGTGCGGAGGTTGTTATCTCTGTCCCCATGTGACACTTCTCTCCTCCGCAGCTGGAATGAACTTCTCTCTCTAGGTTTCTGAAGAGACGTTTTAACTCACCAGAGTACAGTTTAATTCTTACCTCGCTTTCCTTTCTGACCTCAGGGTTAGCTCAGCTCAGGGGACAGTCAGGTTCTCCTGCGAGGATCTCCAGCCCAGGGGATCAAAGTGGGTGGGGACCCAACGTCCCCTCCCTTCCCACATGGCCCCCAGGCTGGCCCCATGAGGAGCATAATCCTCAGGCCGAATTCAGCTCCCCAAACAGGTTGCAGCCCATTCTGCAGGCTGCAGTCAGAGCTCCGCTGGCCCTCGCTCTGCTGGCCGTGGCCACAAGCCAGAGGGTGCCACATGGTGGGCAGACACAAGGCCACACAGGTCTGTGGGCCCCTGAGTCTGGTTCAAGGCCCACGTCATCTTCCCAGTAGACCCCACTTCTTAAAAACCACTAACTGTTTTGAGATGCCTCGAGCTAGTGATCTAGTCCTGGAGTGTGAGATTCTAATACTCTTGGGGCGTGGTGACCTTCTGGAGAGGAGATGGGGGGCCCAGTGACTGCCTGGAAGATGAAGATACCTGCCCAGCCTCTGACTGGCAGGTAATCTACATGCCTGCTCCAGAAAGAGCACTCGGGAGACCCAGACCTCGCAACCCGGACTCTCAAGTCACTGGCCACAGACTTGCTACCCACAATGCACTGTGCCCTGTCACCGCAGCGACATCACAGCAGCCCGGAGAGGAACCCAAGCCCTCCTGCTGCCCTCTCCTCCTCTCCGCACTCAGCCCGAGCCTGCTCATCTTGCATCACCCCACTACACCAGGCGAAGGCCTGCTCCTCCCCCATCCCAGGCTGAGCCACGTGCGTGTGCACATGTGTGCACGTATGTACACACACTAATGTGCATGTGGGGCGTGAGTGTGCGCTGTCCCCTTTGCCCCCCCAGGGACACCGCCTGAGCCCACTTATGGCTCCCCACACTCTGGAGCTCTGACGCTGGGGCTCAGGCAAGTGACAACCCAGTGTGAAGCTGCAGAAGCAAACTTTCTCTCCGATGGTCTCCTCCTCGCCACCCCGACCAGAAACTAGAATTTGTCTTCTAGTCTAGGTCACACGAACCAAATCTCTTTTTCCCCAAAGCCAGCCAGAGCCCAAGAAGCAAATCTCCCCTGCCCTTCTGTCTGGGCGGGAAGCGTGAAGCAACTCTCTCACCTACGCCCTCTGCTTAGAAGAGGGCTCCTGCCTGAACCCGGGGGAGGGATCGCTGCCGGGGAGACCAGGAGTGAGGGCAGGGCCTGCCAGTCTCTCGTGGCACGGGGTATCACCCGGCCCCGCCTTTCCAGTCGTGCTTTTGCTCAACTGGTCCTGCTGGTGGAGCCCCTGTGAAAATGGACAGGGCACCCGAGGCCCAGGCTCGGGTCTCCATCTGTTAGGAAATACACAGTCCAGTAAGTGCACCCTGCCTTGCTCCTGCTAACGCGTCTTTTCTTGTAGGGGTGGAGGCTGTGACGCGGTGGACGGGTGACAAAGGTCCAGCCTCCCCTCAGAGGCCTGGAGAGGAGGCCATGTGTGTGGAGGGCCGTCCCGGGCACTGGAGGGTGCTGGCAGCTCCAACACCACGGGTGACGACCAAAACTGTCTCCAGATCATGAGCTGTTCCTGAGGGGCAGACGGGGTCCCTCCCCCAGGACATTCCCTCTCACTGATAAGAACGCCAAGCCACCCGGCAACAAAGCCACCCGGCTCCATGTGCAGTGGTTAAGCAGGGAGCTGGCACCTGTACACCCCAGAAGCCCGTCCTGACCTCAGGTTCAAAGTGGGCCCTGTAATGCTCCCAGCCCTCCTTGTGCTTCTGATTTTGATATAAAGCCACCACAATTTTGTATCACTATGTATGTACCAGTGTTAAGTTTTTAAAAACATACATCTTAAGAGACAGGGCCTTGCTATGCTGCTCAGGATAGCCCTAGAGGCCTGTGGTCAAGTGATCCTCCTGCCTCAGCCTCCAAGGTTGCTGGGCCTACAAGTGTGCATTAGTATGCCAGAAATAGTGTTAACATTCAATGATAAACTCTCACGTGTGAGAATGGAACCACTTCTTTCAATCCAACACTATCTAACGCAGCTACCCTATTCAACCAGGCTGGGGGGACCTCCAGTCTTACTTAGGGGATCCCTTCTACTCCAGCGTCACTGGAAAGTCAGCAGGGTCCTTGGCAGAGAGCTTTTAGGGACCTCCTCCAGTTCTCACCGCTCACTACTGATTGGCTCAGGGGAATCCCGTCACCCTGCATCACCATGGGAACCTCCCCCTCCCCGGCAGCACGGCCTCTTTGGGAACCCAAGCTTGCCAGACGGATCAAGTCTTCAAACAACTTCTGTTTTTCCCCCTTCTCCAGGTGAAGGTGAAGGAAGATAAACCTGGCCCTGAATAGACACAAGGCACAAATACCAACCATTACCTGCTGAGTGTTCTGCCACCCCGGTGCCAGGTGGCCCCCTGCATGACTCAGGCCAGCCTCTCCAGGACTGGCCCGGCCGGCCCTGCTCCCGTGTGCACCAGGCCAGCCTAAGGGTGCAGCACACCTGTCACAGGGAGGGAGGGAGGGAGGGAGAGCCAAGTTCTTTCTCTAGTTTACCTCTGAGGTGGGTCACAGTGAGGCCTGGCCATGCGTGGATGCACAGTCCTTGGAAGATGCGGACACGACTCTGAGCCGGGCCCTGGAGGGCCGGGGCTGCCACTATCCACGTGTCCGGTGCCGGCTGTGTCCAACCGAGGGGACTCGGCACAGCAGACGCTGGAAGAGGCTTCGTTCGGTGCCACCTCATCTGCTGGACGTTGCCCGCCAAGGACAAAGAGAGCCGCCTGGGACCCGCCCCGAATGCACAGGAGCTAAGCGCCCGGCAGAAGGAAAGACGCTCGCTCGTAACACAGGTGGGCAGACCCTGCCATACACCGCTGTCTCCCACTCTGCTCCACGCGATATGCCCGAGAGAATCACACACGCTCTGTCCTCCGCTCTGCCCGCAGGCCAACGCTGCTCCGGGTCCCCCGCACCCGTGAGAGCCCCTGCTCTCCACCCCACATGCCCACACTCTCCCCTCTGCCCCCACCGCGGAAGGCGGTCCGAAAGCTCCTGCCGGTTCAGGGGTGATGACACTGTGCACAGTTCGTGGAATACGTTTGTGCTTCCCCTCCCACTGATTTGTTTGTGTCAGTTTGGTCCGAAGTTCAGAGGGCAAAGTGACGGCGCCTCCCCTTGTGCCCGCAGGGCCAGGTGTCAAAGGCAGGTGCACGCCTCTGAAGGGTCGGAAGCGCCACCTGCCTCCCTCCGGGGGTCCCGCACACAGCGCGCCCGGCCCTCGCCTGGAGCGGGTCTCAGTCCTAGCAGGCACCCTGCCGCAGCTCACTGTCCTCCGGCCACCCAGCCTTCGCTGCTTCCCAAGCGCCTGGTGTCACTCCCACCTCCCGGCCTGGTTCACCATCACCCCTTCCTGGATCCCCAGCCCTGAGTGGAGGCCTCCCTGGGTCTTAGCTCAGAAGCCACCTCCTCCGAGCCCCCTTGGGCCCCACTGTCTCAACCGCAGCAGCCTGTTTGCAGGACAGCTGCAAGCTTGAGCCCAGCCCGGGCACCCTATGGACTCGGGGAGACCTGGTCTTGAAACTAAACATCAAAAAGGGGCTGGGGATGTAGCTCAGTTCAAAGGCCCCAGGGTCAAACAAAAACACGCTCACTAGAATTCGTCCAGTGCACTTCAGGAAATGGGCTTACCCTCCACGGGTCACTTCTACTTTGATCTTTAGGAGAACGGTCCCTTTTTAGCTGTGCGCAGGAGCGGGCGGGGCCCCCGTTGCTGTAAGGATGAAGAAACGGGCCGAGCAGAGGTGACTTGGGAAATTTCCTGAAGCAAGCGGGCTTGTGGAACGGGGAGAGGGCAGACGGGGAGCCCGGCCCGGGAACCTGCGCGCACCGGCCGCCCTCGGCGGCTGCAGGCCCGGGCTCGGAGCGAGGGGCGCCCCCCTGGGGTCCCAGGC